AATTTCTAGCCCTATTAAAATGTATGAAAAATTAGCCATCTTATTAATAATTATTTCAACTTGTTCCAGTTTTGAGTTAAACTGATTATGTATAATAATTTTTCCAGTTTTAAATTAGGAGAGTAACATCATCGCTGCTACTAAAAAGCAAACGAAATTCATTGAATCTCCTTACGTACCTGAACACTTCTAAGCATATATCTTTAAAAAGGAAAGTATTCAAATTTTTTCTTCAAAGTTGTTTTATTTCTGTTTACTATAAACTTTTATAGAACTTAGATAATTTGGCTATATATTCTATTATTTGATTACTCATCAGAAGGATATGTTAAAGTTGATGTTTCAGTATTATTGAAACAGCACATGTTCTTTAATAAATTAATGGACACAAACATGGCATGATTTTTAAGAGGACCTATGTATATATTTAATTTACCAATTAACTGTTACATAAAAGCATTACATAAAGTGTCATGATGTCAATGTAAATATCTCAAATCCATCTACTTATTAAATTCCTTCAGAAAGATTTTAATTATGTTAATTTATAACATCCAACATCCTTTTGAATTTATTCTAGTTCATTAATCTAAGGACATCCATATTATTAAATACAGGCATCAGCACTGCTCTTGTGGTAAAGTTATAAAGGAAGAAGCTATTGTGTACTTTCCATGGCTAAATAAAACTTATAGAGAACTGGGGATGACTTAATGTTTAGAGGTACATGTGGATAAATACAGTTTCTCTTATGCTTTGCATTATTTTTCACTCAAGGCTAGGGGAATTGCAGCCATCTGATTGAGATTCATTTGCAATACGCTGTAACAAGGGAAATAGAAAGTTTATTTGAAATGACCTTTCATTCCACAGTTTAATTTACTGTTGTTCACATTTGTATGTCTTCTCTAGCTCATGACATGTCCCTCCAGGTCTTAAAGTAGGATCCCCGGGGAAAAGCAAAGTCAAAGAAGATAGATGTCAATGTTCATATTTGCAAATGGGTTAAATTCCCCCAGGGAGAAATGAAGATATACCAATCTTCAATAGTCCAGAGTGGGGTGCCAACATTATAGGGTATCAAGCATAGTTACACTATACTTTGAAAGCTAATAGCCACTGTAGAATTCTATTCACTGTAAGGATAAACTTTCTCCTGTAATATAACATAATGTAACATAACAGCATCACAGGGCATAGCATGCCAATCTATGATCCAAGTAACAGCCAAAGGAACTAAAATATATATACCTATGTATATATATATATATCTGACTACTTATTATACATATATATATATTTCCTAGATATACAAAATAATTCAACATTCCTAAAAATTTCAAATAGCTCCTAGTTTACAGCAGTTATTTTATTTTTTTCTTAATTTTATTTTTTTAAATTATATAAAAATTAGTTAGCATATAGTGCAACAATGATTTCATGAGTAGATTCCTTAGTGCCCCTTCCCATTTAGCCCATCCCCCCTCCCACAACCCCTCCTGTAACCCTCTGTTCTCCATATTCAAGAGTCTCTTATGTTTTGTCCCCCTCCCTGTTTTTATATTATTTTTGGTTCCCTTCCCTTATGTTCATCTGTTTTGTCTCTAAAAGTCCTTATATGAGTGAAGTCATATGATACTTGTCTTTCTCTGACTAATTTCCCTTAGCATAATGCCCTTCAGTTCCATCCATGTAGTTGCAAATGGCAAGATTTCATTCTTTTTGATTGTCCAGTAATACTCCATTGTATGTATATACCACATCTTCTTTATCCATTCGTCCCTCGATGGACATTTGGGTTCTTTCCATACTTTGGCTATTGTTGATCGTTACAGCAGTTATTGTAAATATTACATTTAAGTCTGATTGAAAAGTATAATTTTTGATTGCCCAATGCTTTCAAATACAAAGCATTGGCTAAGCCTGCCAGGTAATTAAAAAAAATACAAATGTAATGTTTTCATTGTGCACAATGGGAACTTAAAAATCATTATATAATAATGATAAATTCTAACTAGATAATTCATATAAATTAGAGTTTTTGATCAACAAATTTTGGGGGTAAAGTGGGTATAGACTATCTCTTTATTATCGTTTATTCAAAATAAAAGTGTAGTGAAGGAATTATATTATTTTTTAATTCATTCAAGTATATATATTGATGTCCATGATTGGCAAGTAGTCTGTTAGGAGCTTGATATTATATTATGGTCAACAAATAATTAAAAATTGTAGTTTCTGTTTTCAGTGGAGTTTAGAGTGTAATGCAGTTTATTTACATTCCATAATTAGTGGTCTCTGTGTGTGTGTATTGTTTCCCTTCCTTTTATATAGAACACCCCCCCCACCATATTATCACACTAAAGAGTATACTTTTTTATTCCTCTTTCCTCATTTCTAAAGGATTTCAGAAAAGTGATGAGGGACCAATTTAGGGTGACCAGCTTCACTGCAAAAGACAAATAGTCACCTGTTTCCATCCTATGACAAGAGGAAGCACTGTATCCGTTGCATGGGTGGCAGAACCTTTAAAGGGGCATTTCTCTACTGATTTACTTACTACAGCCTAGGATCCAAACACAGTTTGGATATTTGACTGAGTATTACTAGCTCAGAAAAGTTAATTGTATCTTGCAGAAAGAAACTCAGATCATCATAGATCATTAATTATTTCTACGAAAAACGTTAATATAAAAATAATAACAATAGGGGTGCCTGGGGGGCTCAGTCGATTAAGCGTCCGACATCAGCTCAGGTCATGATCTCATGGTTCTTGAGTTAGAGCCCTAACTGGGACTCTGTGCTGACCTCTCAGAGCCTGAAACCTGCTTCAGATTCACTGTCTCCCTTTCTCTCTGCCCCTCCCCTACACATGCTCTCTCTCTCTCTCTCTCTCTCTCTCTCTCTCTCGCTCTCTTGTCTCTCAAAAAGAAATGTTAAAGAAAAAAAATTAAAAATACAATAACAATAGATACCTTTTTTACTCAATCTCTACTTGCCTAATTTGCTAGATTAAACAAAACTTTCACTTCCTTGAGATGTAAAACAGAGTATCTCAGTATACTGACTTAAGTCTGCAGAACAGTATGTAGGTATGGCTCCTAGACCTCCTCTCTAAGACTCTCATTCTAGAACCACCTGGTGACCAGTGTGCTGATAAGAGTCAGTTTGTTCCCAAACTGATTTGTGCTGGTTAGATTTCATAATTATAAAATTTCATTAAGTATTATGTAAGTAATAAAAAGGAGTTATTTTTATAAAAATCAAGGAAAATTTATTGGAAACATTGGATAATGCAAATAGCTAAAAAAAATGATTAGAGGTATATGAGACATATGTGAAAGAATAGGAAATGAGTGTTAAATTCCAGACAGATTCTGCACTAAGCTTTTTTCTTACGTGGCTCCCCATTAAAGGAAACCAAACTTGAATTCATAGGTGATGAATTATGGTTTTATTTTATGCTGGAAAAATAACACCAATAAACAATCAGAAATCACATATGAAAAAGGCCTTGGTCCTATGTCAAAAATTTGGCTAATGAATGTGAATTTATTTAAGTTAAAATAATGTGTTTAGGAAATGTAGGTATATAGGTTTTAAATTATCACTGCTTTTACCACATAGTTTCAAATATATATATATATATATATATATATATATATATTTGAAAAATATATAATCATTGAGAGTTTCAAATAAAATTGTTTCAATGAGACAGTCTGAACTAATTTGAATGGTAAAAGCAGTGAATATTTGGATTAGAAATGCTAAGTGGCTACGGTGAATAAATACTCCTGTTTTAGAATTCCACCTTTATGGCTTTATGAGTTATTTGAATCAAAAGGAATTTTCTGTGTCCAAAGAAGAGCTTAAAACAAAACAAAGTAAATGAAGAAATATGCCATCAAGAAAATGAATTTTCTACATTTCCATCTCAAGAAAGGAAGTCTTGGTAGGTAATTTTAGGGGCGCCTGGGCTGCTCAGTTGGTTAAGCACCTAACTCTTGATTTGGGCTCATATCATGATCTCACAGTTTGTGGGATTTAGCCTATGTTGGGCTTTGCACTGACAGCATGGAGCCTGCTTGGGATTGTCTTCTTCCCTTTCTCTCTGCCCTCCCCAGCTTGTGCGCTCTCTCTTTCTCAAAACAGATAAATGTCATAAAAAGAAGATAATTAAAAAAAAATCTTCTAGAAAACTGACAGTATGAAAGAAAGGTTTTTAGAGTTTGGAAATAGAGTCATCCGAGGAAGGAATATATTTGTGGTGCCTGCTGCTATACAATATTGGAGAACCTAAGGAAAGTAATACAAAATTATAAATTCTAAATTATATATGAAAATGAATATTTATTTTGAATAGGAAAAGGAATCAGTACATATATATTTTCAAAGTTGACAAATATCACAAGCATTATATCATACAGAGAAAGAACATTTAGTAACTATTTGACACTCCTCCACATTACCATTTCCCCTTGCATTTGTATGCAATGCTATTTATATTTCTTTCCTTTTTTTATTGCTATTTATAGTTTCAAATAATAATTAAAAAGTATTTTCTAGGGGACAATGGAAAGAATGTCTTGCTTCTTGTCTGATTGATCAAAATTTGATCTTTAGGAAGATTTCTTTAAGTTTCATCATTTGTTATTGGTAATGCCATGTAAAATTTTTAGAACTGTCAACATTTGGAAAACTTGTATCAAATTGTTTTCATATAAGAACTCTGAGATTCAGAACCATTTTGCTGTATCAATAACAGTTTTGCAGGTCTCTTAGCGTCAGACAAAGATGGATCTGAAATGTTGGGATCTGGAAAAATATGTGACTGCTCATATAGTCACACAGTTGTGCTTGCTGTTTGCAGCACTGTCACAAATGTTTGCTTTAGAATTGTAGGAATTCAGATGAATTCTATTTTCTACAATTCCCATCCAACAACAAAAAAATAAGGATATGTTTATAATTGCTTAAAATTGGCCTTTTTGGGTGCTTGTTTTGACAACACATTGTACTAAAAATTAGAACGATATGGAGAGGATTAGCATGGTCCTGTGCAAAGATGACACACAAATCTGTGAAGTGTTCCATCTTTTTATCACTAGGTGATATATGGAATTACTGAATCACTATATTGTACGCCTGAAATTAATATAACACTCTATGTTAACTATACTGGAATTAAAATCTTAAGAAGCCAAAAATAAAAAATAAAAATAAAATCGGTCTTTGGAAGTGTACTGGGCATTAGATTGCCCTGATACTCAAGCTTCATTAGATTCAATCACTCAAACCCAGCTCTCAAAGTCAATCATTTACAGATAGTGAGGGAAGGAAGTAGGTTCAGATGAAGAGCATCCAAAGAAACCTCATGTTTTACCAATGAAATATTAACTCATGCTGTTTGCCCAAGGTTGATGGCAATGACTACGACTTTCTTACATTCTGTAGACGAAGCACAATTATTTACTGATTGTTTCATTTGATGACAATTATAATTCTCCTTAAAGTCACACAGTGCTTTTTTGATTTTTGTGGGATTTATGCATATCATCTCATCTGGTTTTGCTTTGTTGCTACATCCTTTTCAGGGATGTGGAGTAATGCGGTGAAGTGACCCACCTAAAGTCCTGTGGGTTTTTTTTGTTTTTTTTTTATTAAAAAATTTTTTTTTCAACATTTATTTATTTTTGGGACAGAGAGAGACAGAGCATGAACGGGGGAGGGGCAGAGAGACAGGGAGACACAGAATCGGAAACAGGCTCCAGGCTCTGAGCCATCAGCTCAGAGCCTGACGCGGGGCTCGAACTCACGGACCGCAAGATCGTGACCTGGCTGAAGTCGGACGCTTAACCGACTGCGCCACCCAGGCGCCCCAGTCCTGTGTTTTTTAAAGCAGGGTTTCAAACCAAAACTTTGCAACACAATAAATCCAGTGTTTGCTCTAGGCCATACTGAGTCCTTTTCTGTACAATATTAATGACATCATGACATTTAAACGCATTCTTAAGTGTTCTGGCATATTAGGCAAGTTAATGTTACCTGATGTCACAAGTAACCTCAACTCTCCATAATTACAATAAATGCGTATTTCCTACTCCAGTGTTTTAAAGTACAATGTGAATATTTTTAATAGGATGGCTTTCAGGGGTGGTTCTGTTGCAAACATTTCCAGAAGGACCCAGGCTCCTTCTGCCTTGTGGTGCTGTCACCTTCCATCTACAGTCTCTGATCGTGCTGCAGAAGGGGAAGACAACATGACGTATTAATCCTCATGACATGTGTAGCTGCTGTCACATGACACAATATTAGTAATGTGGCTGCAACTACGTGGAGTGAAACAGGGAAATACATTCCCTGGCTTGACAGCAACTTTCCATCCAGAGAATAAACAAAGAAAAAAATGGTTTATTAAAAAAATAGTTATTGTAGTCAAGTTTTTGAATAGGTAAATGCTAAGAGAAAAGGAAGAGACAAAATTATACTTTATTTTCTTCTTGGCCATCACTCTAAAACTCTACTTTTTAAGCTTACAACATGAAGAAAGATTCTCAGAATGTAAGAATAAAGAGATATTCAAAGGACAGATTAAAAAATATAATTCTTTATATTTTTCCATAACTAGTGAATACATTTGTGGTTCGAAACCTGAGATGTAAATTATGAGTTCTACTATAATGGGTATTCTATGTTTTTAGAGACTTTTTACAAAAATGTTTATTTATTATTAAGAGAGAGAGATAGAGAGGGAGTAGGGGAGGGGCCAAGAGAGAGGAAGACCAAATCCCAAGCAGCCACCATGCTGTCAGTGCAGAGCCAGATGCAGGGCTCAAACTCATGCACCATGAGATCATGACCTGAGCTGAAACCGAGTCAGATGCTTCACCGACTGAGCCACCCAGGCACCCCTGTAATGGCTATTCTAACTTTAAGTCATGCATTTGTAGAAACATACTTTTTCTTTCATTTTATTCCAGGTTTTTTGTTTGTTCATTTTACATTTTGGGGGCACGTGATATGTCAGAATCCCCTGTAGGCATTGAATCTCTTTCAAGGAACTCGCAATTTAGTAGGAAATAAGCCACACACATAGATGCAAATACAATGCGCACAATGAGCTACCCCATGAAAGAGATATACACAGAATACTTTGGAAGTCTGGGCAGGGGCACGTGAAGGGTGAAGGGGAGTTGACAAACTTTGGTGATGATGAGACAGGCTTGGCCATTTTAATCAAGGGCATTTTCAAGTACTAACAAATAGGAAAACATAAGTTTGCTGACATGGTAACAAGCTACTTTTCTCCATTTTCTTGAGAAATAATTGACATTTGTTACTGTACAAATTAAACATACAACATGGTGGTCTGACTTATATATACAGTGAAATGGCTACCCCAAGAGGTTCAGCTAGCACCCGTTTTTCCCATACAGATGTAATAAAAAGAAAAGAGAATAAAGGAAAAAGTATTCTTCTTGTGATGAGAATGCTTGGAATTCACTCTCTTGACAACTTTCCTATATATCATACAGTAGTATTAACTACAGTCATCACATTGTACATTACATCTCTGGCACTTAATTATCTTGTAACTAGAAGTTTGTACCTTTTAAGCCCCTTCCTCTACTTCCCCCTCCCCCTGCTCAGCCTCTGGTAAGAAGTCTGATCTCTTTTCCTATGAAGGTTTTGGTTTTTTTAGATTTCACAAAAAACTATTTCTTGATAAAACAAATCACTAGTAATTCTTAATTTGTAAAAGTCCATCTTCCTGGAGAAAAAGATTTAGATGATATGTAGAATAGAAAGTAGGGGGAAAAACATCTTGGGTTGATAAATGTAGAAATTATGTTTGTATCACAAAGATCTTAAAGATTGGTTTACTAGTTTTGTGAACTATTATCACCTTCTCATTGTCTAATATGTGGAAATATTTCAAAATTTTAAAAAGTCAGTATTTAAGATGATGGACAATTAGCGTGGCAAAACCTAAAATCTGACTGTTCTTTCTTGTCCCTTGCAAGTGTCATTAGAGTTTCTAAGATTGTGGCAACAGTATTCAGGTTTATCACCTGTGCCTCATAAAAAACAAACAAGAATACTTAGGAATAGTTTGGTAGATGGTAGTATTCTATCAGAGTAAAACAAAATGAGAAAGATCCAGGATAAAGGATTAAGTGTGCTGAAACTCCTTGGTTGACTTCTTAACAAGGTTTTTTGTTCTCAGTAGGGTTAATGAATTAATCATATAAAGAAAACTACACATTAAGCTGCACATAAATGAGCTTGGCCAAATGCAAACCCATCTACTTCTGGCACCTGCCTTATTTCTGACTTCTTTTCCATGTCCTGCTGTGCTAGACTCGCTGAACTGCACAGGCTCCCAGGCTCAGCCCGTGCTGTTTCCTTCCTCTTGTCTGCGTTCAAGTTGTTCCCAGTCTGGAAAAACCCTCACTTACCCTCTGCTTCCTTTGCATCTTGAACTCCCTCTCAAGAGCCTGATCACACATTGTTTTCTGCCCCTGATTCGACTTCCCCCCTGCTCATTAATTAAACAAATAATTGCTGAGCACCTGCTAGACTTCAAGAGGTGTGTAAGGTGCCAAGGGTCCAATTGCTAATAAGACAGGTGTGTTCTGCTTCCCGGAACGTGGGATCTTGTGGGGGATACTCCTGGTGGCCCACACCACCGTGAACTCACTCTTTCCAGGCATTCTTCTGAGGAATTTGCCATAAATTCGCTGGTTTAATCCTCACAGCAACCCCATGAAGTGGGCACCATTCTCTTTTGCATATAATGCATGAGGAAACAACAACATTGCAAGCTGCTACCTGGCCAATGTCAGACCCAGGTAGGCCTACCCCTTAAGGAACCCTGGGTCTCTTCATTTCCCAGGGACTTGTTTCACATTTGCTGAATGTCAGGTCCCTTGGATTCTTCTGCTCTTGACCCCTGACACGACATCAAGCTTCTCATTTTGCTTATAGTGAACCTAGTGAGTGCGCAGCTCCAGCCACCCTGTCCCTGTAGCCACTCATGCAGGGCTCTCACCACATCACTCTTCCTGTCACACTGTTCTTCACGTATGGGCCCCCTGTCTTCCTGTAACACTATAGAAACGAGACAGGGAGTTTTTTTCAATATTTATTTATTTTTGAGGGAGAGAGTGAGAGAGCGTGTGTGAGCGGGGAAGGAACAGAGAGAGAGGGAGAGAAAGAGAATCCCAAGCAGCCTCCACACAGATATGGGGCTTGAACTCAGAAACCGAGAGATCATGACCTGAGCCGAAATCAGATGCTTAATGACTGAGCCACCCAGGCACCCGGCAGTGATTTTTAATGAGCTCTTCAACAAGTATTTATGGAGGCTGGAGTACTGAAGGCTGGACATCATTCTAGGTGTCAGAGATATAGTGGTGAAAAGACAAACAAGTCTTACTTTGTAGAATATGTCCTGGGAGGAAGATTAAAACCAAACCCTTTTGTACCTCATTGCTCCAGGTGAAGTTGTCAATACTGAGTCAAAAACAGAAGTTCTCCAGATTGGACCTAGAATAGTAATAAAAACTAACATTTCTTCTGTGTTTATAATGAGCCTGTCTTTTTTCCAAGACATGTATATTTATTCGTTAAATAATCCCTCAAGGTAGGGACCATTGTCATTCCATTTTTAAAGATCAGGGAACTGAGGTTCAGAGTGGTTTGAAGCCATGTGGCTAGTAGGAAGGTAGGACTTCAGATTCTCTCTCAGACATTGTGCCCAGATCCTGTGTGCCTGGCAAATATCTTTGAAACCAACAAGAGGAGAGAAGAGGTGAGCTGTGTTGAAGAGAGGGGCCAGAATGATCCCCCTTACACAGAGAAGGGGAGATAGCTTTGCAGGCAGACAAGACCTGCCCCCTTCTCTCTGGGGGTGCCCTGGGAAGTTGATAGCAGCTCAGAAAGAAAGTGTGCTGAAGGAGACTGAACTTTGCACAGCTTTTTAGCATTGACTAAAATTCTCATTTGCCCCATGGCACAGAGACAGAAAGCCATCAGACTAAAAGGGTCCTCATGACCTTGAAACCATGCAGTTGCCAGCTATGAACACGGAGGCTTAA